AATCTAGACCAGGAGTTGGCAAATTATGACCCACTGCCTGTTTTTTAAAAATATGTTTTTATTGGTTTCAGAGAGAGGAAAGGAGAGGGAGAGACAGAAACACCAATGATGAGAGAGAATCATCCATCAGCTGCCTCTTGCACGCCCTCTACTAGAGATTGAGCCAGCAACCCAGCATGCGCCCTGGCCTGGAATCAAACCGTGACCTCCCGGTTCACGGGTCCATGCTCGACCACTGAGCAACACTGGCTGGGCCCCCTGCCTGTTTTTATATGGCTGTGATCTGAGAACAGTTTGTACATTTTTAATGGTTGAAATAAATCAAAATAAGAACAACATTTCATGAGGTGAAAATTACATGAAATTCAAGTAATATTGTACATAAGTGAAGTCTGATGGAAACACAGCCACACTCATCATTTACACATTACCTCTGGCTACTTTCACACTAACAGCAGAGTGCAGCTGCTGCAACAGAAATGCATGGCCAACAGAGCCTGAAATAGTCCTGGCCCTTTACAGAAAAAGTTTTGTGACCCCTCAACTAGTCTGTTAAAATTGGCAAGGAGGATTCATCCAGTCCACCCCGTCGTCTTTTCATATGGGGAAACTGAGGCTTGGTCAGGGAATGGCCTTGCTCAAGGCCAGTAGCAGAAAAGAAGCTGAAGCCTGAGACCCTGGGCTCATTGTGGGGTCCCCTGTGTGCTCTGCATGGCACTTGGCATTTGTGAGCCGGGCCTCTGAGCCCGTTCTGGCACCTTGGCACCGAGAAGCAAGTACAAGAAGGTGCAGAAAGCACAGGTGTGATGGGGAGGAGGGGGCAGGAAAGACCAGTAACTCTGGATGGGGCACCAGGCTCCTGGCTCATTCCTCTGGCTCAGACCAGCAGGAGGACTGGCCTGGAGCCCAGGAACCAAAGGCTGGTCCTGGCCTGGCTTGTGAGGGACAAGGCGGCTGTGGCCTCTCTGTTTCCTGTGACAGCCCCCCCCCCCCCCCCCCCCCCCCCCCCCCCCACCCCTATTCTCAGATGGAGAAGGAACTTCTGCATCTGGGAGGAGATGCAAGTGTGAGTCCCTGCTTGAACAGGCAATGTGATCTGGCCTCCCCCTGCTTCTGGAAGATCCTGGGAGAAGGTGTAGTGCCCCCGCCCCTTTACCTGGCTGGGAGGCGGGGCTAGGACTCCTTGTTTAACTGGGGCCTGGCCCCCAGGCTACCCTGCTGGTTGGGAGGATGTCCTGGCCCAAGCAAACAGACCACAGAACCCTTCAAGGGCTCTGCCTCTGGCACCTGGGAGGCGGGGAGAGGGTGCGGTAAGTGCGAGGCCCCTCCCTTTATGATTAGGAGGCATACTGTGGCTTGGCTGTCCTTCTGATTATGGGAAAGAGGGGGAGCAGAAGGGAAGGAGAGCGACAGGCAGAAGGAGATGCCGGCGGAGGAGGGCGAGTTAATAGAAGAAAGGGAGTAAATGGAGGAGGGAGCGAGATAGAGGGGAGTGCAAAGAAGTAAGGAAAAGAAAAGAGAAAGGAAGAGGTCTATCCGCTCGCACTGCCTCTCGCCTCTGGCTGCGGAGGCCCGGCCTCCCTCTGGGGGCTCTCCTCGCACTGGCTGCCCGCGGATTCAGGTTCGCAGCGACCCGACCCGGGCGCGCTGACGGCCTGGCACCTGCCAGGATGGAGTCGCCAACAGCATCCTCGCTCTCTCTCCCCAGGAGGCCTGGACGCCCCCAGCGCGGGTGGGGGTCAGACCTGGCATCCCGGCCTCGGCACCCTCTTCTCGGGCGCCCGGCGCTCACCGCGCAGGCTGGGGCGTTCTGGGAGGGTCCGCGGCGCGCGCTGCGGAGAGGAACTCACACCAAGCGCCGGAGGCACGACCTCCTTGCCCCGCAGTGTGGCCTCCAGGACTCGGATCCGACGTCGCAGCGGGAGCCTCAGGGCCCTCGGAGGTGTGGGCGCGAAACAGAGGTGGGAACCGCCCAGGGAGAGGCCGGGTGCTGCGCTACGTCCAGCAGAATCGCCCTGCGTCCCGGCGGCACCGAGAACCGGTTTTCTATGGGTCAAAGCAATTGTCTACCGATGCACCTTTTAAAACGCACACTTCAAGACTATACTTTCAGGGATCATTTCTATAGTTCGTTACTAGAGAAGTTTCTCTGATCGTGTAGAGCACCCGAAACCACGAGGAGGACATGCAGCATTCTCTCCTGAGCGTGAAGCCGGCTCTCGGTGTTGCTTCTGCAACTGCTGTTTGCTATTGATGATCGTTCTTTTCTCTCCTGGGGGAGAAGAGGGAGAGGATGCATTCTGAGTGGTTTTCGGCGAAAAAAAATAAGATAAAAATAAAAAGCACACTTCTAAGTAAAATGTCGCATTTAAAAAATAGTAATAAAGCAAAAAACAAAAGTTATAAAGCGAAGTCACCAATTCCAAAGGAACAGACTTGTAAATTACGTGCAGCGGGAGCGGGAGGGGCGTGTCTTAGGACGCCGGCCCTAAACGCGATGCGAGCCTGGAGCTCACAGGGTTGGAAATGAATCAAAACGAGAAGTCCACACCTGGCTGGAGACGTGCACAGGAAGGCGTCGCAGGGCCCCCCTTCCCAACGGGACGGTCACGGTGCGCCCCGGAGCTGCGCCCCGAGTCCCGTTTGGAGGGCAGGGCGGTGTTGCCAACCTCAGGTCCAA